AAAAAAAAAAAAAAAAAAAAAAAAAAAAAAAAAAAAAAAAAAAAAAAGTCTTCTGTAACCCTATCATTTTGTTTAAGCAGGTTTATTAATTCTTTTATCACCTCCGAATTAGTAAAACACAGCAGAATAGAAGTTTTGCATGTTGGATTTTCACTTTCTGATACAGTTCTTTTATATATTTCTTAAAAAAGAAATCCATTATGACAAGGTTCGCTGGAATTTTCGATTATACTTAATCCACAATGCCAAACAAAATATTTTGTCAGAATTCATTAAATAATTTTCATACTAATTGTTTTGCCATTATTTACACACTGGATGGCGTACACATTTTCCCATTTTCCGATCATGACATGGAGCACAAAGTAGATTGACTTTGACGGTTGGGAGGGGATGCTTACTCCTGCATAACACCTGATCTTATCTCCGATGTTTTCAGACGTTTGTTCTGTTCTTCATTAGTATAGTTATAATGGACTTTTAACTTGATATCTGTTTTTCATCCCCATAATTTCTGTCGCGACTTTAAATTTCGGGATCGCTTACTAGTATTGAGGTCCTTTTAAAATGATTGCGTTTGGGTCTTCATGTTCAATTATGTTGACATACCAGTAATATGACGTGTCTTGTAGCTGAAAGAAGAAAAAAAAGTACTCTAAAGAGGACTCTGTTTTAGATGTTCAATACCTAGTCACACTTAGGTTTGTTTTATAAATGAAAAAAATTGAAACTGACGTCTAATCATTTTTGTAGTAAATGCAAAATGTAGACTTCAGCTTTAAAAATAGTGGAATAAAAGACTGATCTTTTTTATGAATAAGAATGTTACTTAATATGTTTACAATCTGTTTTCCTTTGTTGGCAAATTTAAGTTTGAAGAACCGACAGGTATATTGAGAATTATCTCGGACACACGCGTCATTTAAACAAGGTAAATACATGTAATTACAAACACTAGCTTGTATTCTATTGTTGAAAAGTCTAAGAATGGAGTTGCTTTAGCTTCTTAAAATGGCCCATTCAAAAATTTCAAGGGAATCGAGCAAAGATTACTCCGAATGTGATCTAGACCTTATAGTTCAGTGACTTCAGGCAAACGTCAATCAAAAATCACATCATGTATATTTGGTCTATTGTATAATCGATGTCCTTTGCTGCACCTGTATGGAAAAAAACTCAACACATTGTGGGTTTCACAGATTACATTATTCAAGTGTTCGTTGCAACCATACGGAGAAAGTCATGCCTGAAAATTTTGACCAATATTCAATGAACAGAAATATACACTGGCTCTCAGTAAGACAAATAACCAGAGAAAAGATGTGTTTCCTGGGTTTAACAACAAACCGCATACAGGTTAAAATCTTCCCATCGGATAGATAACATACACATGTATCTGTACAGCTAGATAAAAGAATAACAAATGTTCATCTTTTTTGATAATTTTATTGGAAAATTCTCAGATTATGATTAACTCTGGCATACTTTGTCTTGTTTTATTCATTAAATGCATTTTAGGAATATACTTCGTATATAAATGTTTCTTTTTTTAACTGAAAAATGACTGTGACTTATGAAGAAACTTTCTTAAGTTTCCTTAAACGCGGGAATACAACCTCGTTTTTCCTTTTCTATAGTTCCTCTGTCCTTCTCATCTATTTTTTAACCATATTTGATGGACTTTTTCTGTTGGCTTTATTGAAGTCAAGATTTAACATGTTTAAACCGATATGTTTATTTTTTCTTTCATTTTATTTTAATTAACAATGACGACTTTATCTGCTCAAATTGAACGTCTACTTAGAGTTGATAAGTAGTAAATATTATATTTTTTCTGACAATGGTTGTATATAATAGGATAATGGAGGCTATGACGTGTCTGTAAAGTTATTGGAGTATTACAGAGAGCCAGACGATTGCTGTGATGATATTCTCGGATGTAGCGGAGAGTGTGACGTTTATTTCCAGATCTGCTTGGAACCATTACATCCAACACAAGAGTGAGGATCTCTCTCTCTCTCTCTCTCTCTCTCTAACGATTTCGCATACTGACTTTGCTTAAAATGTATTTTTATATGATTAATATAATGACAAACACTACAAATCTACAAATACCCAGTCTGATGGATATAGGAATCTTCCAATGAAATGTTCAAAGTTCTTGATTCGACTTCCTCTTGTAATTTCTTCAGTCAGAAGTGCTATGGGAAAAATAATAACCAGCGAGTTGAAAACACAAACAGATTTTTATTTGCTGACTCTCTGAAATCCGCTGATTTCTACACGTGGAAAGACATCCGGGGACAGGTAAATGTACATACATTGAATTTGTAGGTGATATTAAGCCGTCAATTATTTAATGCTTATTTTACGTTCTTGTACATAGCCCTCGTTTGATATATCAGTTCATGTCTTTGATCATGACGACTTATCATCCGATGATAAAATTGGAGTAACAACATACGAGTATAGAGATTACACAACAAAGAAGCTGACTGTCACAACAACACCTGGGAGTAGAAAATTACGGTAAGATGCAAAGGATTGATCCCTTGTTATTGATAAAAGCATGTAAATTTTACAACACTGACTATTTCTCAGTCTGTTGTCCCAGAAAAAAAAATAAAGTCCCTATATTTCGTCAATCCTAAGATACATCAAATTTACAGACCAGAAAATTGGATTGCATAATAATAATCCATTAATATATGCATAAATTGGGTTTCATTTTTTTTTCAAAAGGATAAAGTTATTACTGGATATTTCAAGTGGACAAGAAAATGTTAACACTCCAATACAGAAATGGCTGCATTTAGTTGTCGCAATGTCAGCTGCCTCTTTGTTTTGCCATTAGACGATTAATTTCTCTCCTGTATATGTTTGACGAACCTAAAGTATTTTAACACCCTTCCCCGCAGTCACGCATTTTAACGCATATACCATTTCCTGTTTCTAACGCAAAATCACGCATTTACCGTTTCCCCGCAATCACGCATTTTCACGCACTTTAAAAAGTTCATTTAATCTTCAATTTATAGCCAAATTCCAACTATTTTATACTTTCTTGATCCTCATAAAATAAGAAAAGTGATTTTCTAATTAAAATATTATTTCAGTATATTGTTTACGCTAAACTTTAGAGAAATTTGTACCCCGCTATATAGTGCTTGCGGGGAAATGGTAAAGTAATATTTCAATGACGCGAGGATTCAATGTATGTTGCATAGCAATTCTGTAAGTTGTAAAGAGTTAATAAACACAGCCAGGAGAGAAGGACAAGTTTCTGGAGACTTCCAAGAACAATACATTATTTGGATTATTACATAATCAGAAGGTTGAACTCAATTCTCAAGGTGCCAAAAAAAGATAATTTATGTAATTATTTCTATCAAGAGAGAATATGATAAAAGTTTATTGTTGAAGTGTATAATATATACAGCGGTTTTAATTATATTAGGTAAGATTGTTTAATTCATGTTTATTATTTTAAAATTTGTCTAATCTTAATGATTTTCCCTTCCACTTATAAATCTAGAAGATGAGTATATAGGTACATGAATACAAGATAATGCATTGTAATGCTGGGTAATTCCAGCCTTACTCCAGGTTTGAGAAAGTGATGCATTACATCACCATTTCAAGTAATGTAGATTTTTTGCATTACATATTACTAGCATTACTTTGATTTAATGTTTTCCATTGCAATACATTTTTATTATATTTAGCAATACCCCAAACCTGTAGTATGATAACATACTCTGATGTTATGCAATGATACTGAATTTCTTTAAGAACATTTTATAGAAAAATACATATTGATACAAAAAGATAATTGAATGTGTAAGTTTTATAAACAAAGGTTCATTCTCTATAAGCCGTTTTCCGGCCTACAATGACTGAAAAATTTCAATAATATTTTCCTCTTAAACACTGCTTGAATCATCAGACTAATATTCAGTTTATTGATAAATGTTGTTTGGTAAATGATTCTTTAGTAAATGTTATGATATAACATATGTATACTTATGATACAAATACATAAAAATCATACAAAAAGTTATACATGAAGACAGCAAAACCTTATTTGTTAGGCATATATCACTTTTATACCCATTTTGTCTGATTTTTATTCGGACTGGTACTTAAATGAAAAATAAAAAATATTATTTTATGAAAATGTCAGTCAGCATTCGACTCAATGATAAATTGTATTTGTTGATAAGTGATCAATGTAAATATAAAGAAAATTGACAATTTTTAACTTCATTGTTCAATCATACTTTAATTATCAACAGAATCATATCATGATCACTGCTTCAGTGTTACAAATAAAAAAAACTGTTAGAATTAGAAAAAAGCGCAAAAACTCAAGGTCAGCAATCGAAAGGAGATTTTTCTTCTGAATTCATCAAAAGCTTTAACCTACACAGACAATCCCTTCGACGTCGATTATCGTCTGTCGGGCAGACTTACAAAATACCCTTAACACTTTCATATGGGTACAGGAATATCTCTCAGTTGACACAATACGCAAAAGAATGCTCTACGTACGAGCAGTTTCTTAATTAAATGAGGTAAGTTATTGACAATCAAGTTGAAGATACAAGAATATCATCAGTCTCGCTTTATGTCATCATTTTACAAGTTCTATGGTCGATATAATGATCTTGTCAGCAAATACAATTTATCATTGAGTCAAATACTGAATGACGTTTCTCATACTAATTGTTAGGTAATTTTTTTCATACGGAAATGTCTACGAATTTTTCTTCCTTTTTTTCGTTCGTGACAAGAAGCAGAGTTTGAGTTAGCCCGTTTGGCAGAGGATGCCACCCAACACAACATGGCCATAGAGAATGGTAGAGATACACTTATTTGTTTTATTAGAAGATCGTTACGTTACCGATTCATATTGTACTGAAATTAATTTTATTTATAAAGTACATATCTCACTTCAATCTTCAAGGGCGATTTTATCTCCTAGGCACTTCCTTTAAAAACTTGAGTAAAGAAGGGGATAAAAGAAAAGTTGTGAAAAATCTTGTCTTAGTAAGAAAGTTGGCTTTGTACGGTGTACCTAGAATACCATTAGCAATACAGAAGAAGGATGAAGGCCTGGATTTTTGTAATATTTTCCCTCTTCGCTGGCTTTATTTTTCAGGTAAACATTAGACGATATAAATGTTTATATGAAGTGAATTGAGCATAATAATTTGTCTTTTTTTAAATAGTCAATAGAAAAATACATACTCTAACATTATGTGAGATCTTTTTCAAAAAGATATTTTAAAAAGTTATTGTGGATAGGAAAAAATAAAATGAATTGTTAAAATACTATTTAAAATAAAAGCTTAACTAAGAGTATCATACCAATTAATCATGATTTATTCATATGTAAAGCTTTACAAAGGATATTTCTTACTTTACTCTAATAATTCAAGAATTTTCTGAAGAAAAATACTTATATGAAAATTATTAACGTTTACTATATCAATGGAAGCCAAAACAAAGCATAGAAATCGTGGGAAGAAAAACTATTATAAACGTGCATCAATAAATGTGCGCAAATACCTTAAATATTATTAGCACATTCAAAATACTGTCAGCTTGTGAAGATTTGCTTTTGTAACGTGTCGGACCAGAGCGGTCAGTAGGTCCGTGCTCGGATTACCGAGTTTTACTGGGGATATGATTGAATGCAATATATACAGATGATATTAATATGACACCTGCCTGGTGTATTTAAATCAAATGACCTAAGTGCTTTGTACAATTATATATCTTCAGTTAATACCGACACCTGCCTGGTGCCATATGACAATTGCCTCACTATACCACTGACTATACAAGTCAACAGCCACCTGCCTGGTGCCTCTTGATTTAGCCTTTAACACCTGCCTGGTGTCTTACTGCTTACCAAGTTGCTTATATAACTCTAGTCAAGTGGCTACAATATACTTACGCAGTATGATTTAACTTGTAAGAGCTTCTCTGTCTTAACGACAAACCTATAGCTAACGTCACACAGCTCTATTTTAACTAGTCACTGACTACGACAACTTTGCACAATCCGATATGATTGATGCAGCAACTGGTTTCTGTACCAAAGTGAAGACGCAAGCCAGTTGGCTGTACTGCCCCCTTGTACCTCCACTTAATCAATGATCATAAGTTTTTCAGATATTATATTAGCAAAATACAACAAACTGCCTTTCTTTTGCCAACACTATTATTATTTTCTAACAGAACATCATTTATCAATAATACTTGTATAATCTTTCGTCAATTGACCAATTAATTACAATATTTACATTGATTATCTATTATAATACAAACAAGTAACGGGAGGTAACTCCTCCAACCATTTCACTTCCCTCCCCTTAAGAACATGCGTCCCGCATGACCTTTACAACATGGCAAAATAAGTGAGGAAATGGTTAAGTATTTACATTTACTCACTCGGTGTTCACTTAATCTAACACATAGTCTTGCAACCAGATAGGCGGTCTTCTGATTCTTGCCCCACCCCCATTAATATCAAAATTGTCATCAGTTGGAGGTGCGTCTGTGTCATTGCTTTCATTGTCAGTTACACTTTTCTCCGTGTCTCGACCAGTGTCTTCTTGAGGACTATTGTCCTCTACAACCTCATCTCTCAACGTCTGGCTACGTTTGAGACGCAATCTGTCCACATGCACAATCTGTGGTTTGCCTCTTGGTCCACAGTTTACCTTGTAGGTAATGTCTGTCATTTTGTCTAAGACTTCGTATGGACCACGCCAGTAGCTTGTAAACTTCGGCGACAATCCTGCTTTCCGGACAGGGAAAAAGACATACTTCGTCACCCTTTTTAAACTGCTGCCAGGATAACTTCTGGTCATGATATCTCTTTTGTCTGATCATGGCCGCTTTTATATTTTCCCTAACATGTCTATGGGCATCTTCCATTGTCTCCTTGAGATGCCAAGCCCACTGATTACTAGGGATGTATTTGACTGCATTGGGCATATCGTACATAATGTCAAGTGGGGTTGATACCTCCCGACCAAACATCATGAAGTTGGGAGTGAACCTAGTCGTTTCGTGCACAGATTCTCGGAACGCCATCATGACGTTAGGCAAATATCTATCCCAGTCTGAGTGGTGTTCATTGACGAAAGGGCTTAGCATCATGACAAGGGTCTTATTGAAGCGCTCGACCATGCCATCGCTCTGGGGATGGTAAGGCGAGGTGCGAGACTTCTTTATGTGCAGGACATGGCATACTTCTGAAAAGAGCTCACTCTCGTACTGGCGTCCTTGGTCTGAATGTATACTGGAAGGTACACCAAATCGCGATACTACCTCCTCGACTAAAATCTTGGCAACTGTTGCAGCCTCCATGTTTGGCATTGGGATGCTTTCCGTCCATTTGGTGAAATAGTCGGATATAACAAGGATGTACTTGTTGCCATTATCAGTCATGGGCAGTTCACCGAGGATATCGGTAGCGATTCTGTCCATAGGCATTCCACTCTCGACAATTGTCATGGGTGCTCTTTTTTCTTCTGAGGACTCTTTCTCTTTGAGCACTTCTCGCAGCCTGCAATGTAGGCTCTTGTGTCTGCCTGAAGACCTGGCCAATAGTACTTTTGTCGGATGCGTGCCAGTGTCTTAGCCACACCTAAGTGAGCAGCTGTTTCAATATCATGACAGTATTGCAATACTGTCCTACGCTCACTGCTGGGTACTATTGCCTGTAGACAAGATGACTTGCCACTGTCCTCTTGGTGTCTCCTGTACAAGATGTCATTCTCAATGGAAAGGCTTTCCCATTGCGACCATAGGGATCTTATGACATACCCATGTCCACTTATTTCATTATACAAAGGTCGACTCTTTGTTTGCAGCCAGCCTTTCACTAATTTAAGGTCCCTGTCTTTGCCTTGCAGTTCTTGAATCTTGTGACAAGGCTCTCTGCCTGAGTTGACTGGAAGAGCTGCATTGACATGTGTCACTGTATTTGCATCTTGAACACTCTTATCATCTGGTGTTGATTTCTCCCAATCAGGGTCATAACCACATTGTCGACAAGGTACTCTGCTCAAGGCATCAGCATTTCTATGTTGTATGCCAGGTCGATGTTGGATCTGAAACTTCTATGTACTAAGGGTTTCTAACCATCTGGCTAGTAACTTAATCAGCCACCTTAACGAACCATGATCACTGCGAATCAAGAACTCTTTGCCATAAAGGTAGTGTTTAAAATGCTTAACGAAATGCACTACTGCTAAAAGTTCCTTTCTTGTAACGCAGTATCTGCGTTCACATTTCGTTAGTGTTCTACTGGCATAGGCTATGACATGCTCCTTTCCATCTACATTCTATGAGAGCACTGCCCCAATCGCTTGGTCACTAGCATCTGTGTCTAATATGAATGGAACAGTAAAATCTGGATGGGCTAGCACTGGGGACTGAACCAAATGGTTTTTCAGACAATCAAATGCCTCTTGGCACTCTTGTTGTCCATGCAAATGGTTTCCCCTTCTCTGTTAGAATATGCAGACACTTGGCAGTGGCAGAGAAGTTTTTGATAAATCTCCGATAGTATCCGCACAAGCCCAAAAATGACCTAAGCTCTGTGACATTAGCAGGAATTGGCCACTCTTTTACAACTGCTATCTTGTTCGGGTATGTTGATACCCCTTGTTCTGAAACAACATGTCCGAGATATGTTACTTTTCGTGCAAATAGACAACACTTCTTGGCCTTCAGCTTTAGATTGGCAGTTCTCAGTCTTTCAAATACCTTTTCCAAATTGTCAAGCATTTGTTCGAATGTTTTGCCAGTGACAATTATGTCGTTTAGGTATATCATACAAATGTCCCATTGCAATCCGGCAAGGACGCTCTCCATGAGGCGTTCGAAAGTTGCCGGGGCACAACTCAAGCCAAACGGCATAACGTTGAATTTCAACAAGCCTCGTCTTGAGGTAAAGGCGGTCTTTGGTTTGTCTGCAGATGCCATTTCAACTTGCCAGTAGCCTGAGCAGAGGTCGAGTGTCGGAAACCAGGTCGACCCAGACAACTGGTCAAGTGACTCGTCAATCCTCGGGAGAGGGTATGCATCTTGTATAGTGCAACTGTTAAGGCGGCGGTAGTCAATACAGAACCCATACGTCCCATCTTTCTTCCTCACCAACACTATTGGTGAGGACCATGGACTGTTGGAAGGCTGTATGACACCTTTTTCAAGCATGTCGTCTATGTTTTTGTCTACTTCATCTGTCAGGTGAGCTGGTACCCTTCGTGGTCTTTGTTTAGGTCTACTGTCACCTGTGTCGATATGATGCTTGACTATTCCTGTCCTGCCAAAGTCCAAGCTATTTTCTGCAAACAAGTTGGTATATTTTAATAGAAAGCCTTCTTCCCGCTTCAACTGTGTAGGAGTCATGTTGTCCTTACTCTTATAAAGTAGATCAGCTAAATCTTTGCGCAGAACGTTGGTAGTGGCTGATTCCTTATTTACAATTGAGTCCTTCACTGTGTCTATTTCAGCAAGTTGACCAGTTACGGTCCCAGAGTACACTACCTTTGACTCTTCTTCAACATTCATTAGTCTAACTGGCACAGTTTCTTGGGGATTTACCACTGTTCTCGCAGTTAGTGTGCTCTGCTGATTGTTGTACTTGTCAACTGGTTCAATGATACTCTCGCAGTATGGCAGACTTGAACCCTCTGGAACGCACACTTTACCGGGAACAATTATCTCTATCCTTGGCGGAATGCTCACCGTCTTAGCTGCTGTTATTCTAAAACATCCAAGTGAACCTTCTATTGTCATTCTCTTAACATGACCATTGGCATCCAGAACTTCGTTGCTAACATCGACTTTGCAGTGATTTCTTTTCATAAAGTCTAGGCCCAATATGCCATCTGCCTTTAAGTTAGCAACCACTGCCTCATTGTGGTATGTCAACTGGTCAATGTTAATATTGAATTCTGCCTTCCCATGAACAGACAGATCAGTGCCATTGGCCGACATGATGGTCTGATTTACCTCATGTAACTTCGGTCTCACAGATGCTGGCAACTTCTTGTACAATGTGTCAGAAACAAGGGTAACAGTAGCACCAGTGTCTACTAGAAACTAAGCTTTTACCCCTTGAACATTTACATCTAT